CAATCGTCCACCACACCTGTGCCTGACAAGTTGATGTTGTGGTGGGGTCTCCAGGTTGCCTGCATTTTGAAACCGTTTTCGCCCCCCCTGTCGTCCCCAACGGAGGAGGGATGGCCGCACAAGGGGGGCGTCAGGTCAGCGAACCTGAGGAGGTCGGGCTAGCAGAGCTGTGCAGGCTAATGGCTGCCACCACAGGCCGGGTGCTGACACGGAAGAACACTGGAGGGAGGCTGGGGAGCTGGGAATCTGTCGATCTGTTCCTTCGAGTCGACTTGTGGCGGATCCCTGCACGACCAAACTCGGAGTGCCCTAAAAGTGCGACAGCGTGGCGGAAGGGTACTCAGATTGGTTTGTTGAGGGGCGAGACTGAGGTGGTGCACATCGAAGGTGAGGACGAGTGGGCTGTGAGCACTGGGGATGACAGGCACGAGTTCAAAGCCGTGTCAACTAGCGAGACGGCCCGATGGGTGGCTGCCTTGCGGCGTAGAGTGCGTTCATGGAGCGAACTGCTGCAAGATAGAGAAGCCATGGGCCAGGGGGTGCCAGGCGACAGTAGCCAATGCAATGAGATGGCTGGACCCATCCCTCTGGTTCAAGTGGAAGCCACTCAGGAGATGGTGAAGGCACTAGGAGTTGCTGCCACCTTCACGAAAGAGGTGCTGGGCGCTGTGCCCATCGCTGGGCCTGTTCTATCTCTGCTGGGATTTGCCCTGGAGGTGGTTCATCAGGATGTGGCTGACGTTGAGGGCCTTCGCCCTGCAAAGGCGACCCTTGAAGAAGTGGCAAAGATGACGATTCAGACACTGCACAGGGCACTGCAGATGAGAGATGAAGAATATGAAGGGGAAGTTTCAGAGGTGCTGCAGATGATCGAAAGCGCTGCACGTATGCTTGAGAGTCATGAACACAGGTCAGCATGGAGGAGAACCAAGCAGGCAGTATTGAAATTGAGCAGAGGGCCATCGTCTGTTTTGGAATTGCTGAAGCAGTGTCAGGAACGCCTCAACACCCTCAAGATCAACCAAGTGGAAAAACTTCAGATTTCAGGTAATTAGTGCCCGCAATGCTTTTCACACTCTGTCAGACTAGAATATCCAAAGGCTTGTGTGACGAGATTGGGCCATGTCAACAGCACGAGGAGGCATTTGTGCAATATTAGACAACAAAATGCATCCTTTGTGTCCCCATGTGGGTATCCATTGTGGGACATGTTAATTACAGAACAAAAGATCATGCTGTGAGATGTCCTGTGCCTTGTCCTGCTTTGTGACCAGAGGGGATCGTGCCCCAATGCATTCCCATCTGTTTCATTGCATGTCAACATGAATGCCGTGACCCCATGTGGGTATCCATTGTGGGACATGTTAATTACAGAACAACAAATCATGCTGTGAGATGTCCTGTGCCTTGTCCTGCTTTGTGACCAGAGGGGATCGTGCCCCAATGCATTCCCATCTGTTTCATTGCATGTCAACATGAATGCCGTGACAAGGACAGCTGATGTTGTAACAGTGTTCCATTTCATATTGGTGCTCTCTTCAAGAACGTCCATTTCTTGATGATATCATTGCTTGCGGTCTGCTGCTCTTTGCATATTGCCGATGCAACCTGTCCTTTGCGTTGTGAATCCTTGATGGTGTTCATAACCTTGTGATGGTGCCCATCGCTGCGGTAATCGATCTCTGGTCCTTTCACATAAAACCTGTCAAGAGTGTTGCCCACTGCTCACATGCTTTGTACATTTTCCTGAAAATGTTGTCAGGTAAGTGGTAACTGCCCTGAGGTGGAGCAACGTTGCTGTCCCTTCTATTCGGTCTGTTGTGTCATGACAGCAGTTCCTTTAGTCCGTTGCTCAGCATCCATCGAGTTGAGTGCGCAGTATAAATGATGTATTGCAGCTGTGGTATGAATGCACAAGGCAGCCTTGAAGTACAGTGCTTGGAGATGTGTGCTGTGTGTGAGTGCCACTGCCTGCCTATCCTGCTGCAAACCAGTCGAGGCGCTTGAATAAAAATGTTGCCCAGGAACTTGCCCCTCGCTTTGCTGTTTGTTCTTCAACACTGCTTAATCAGGATGAGAATAGTGTCCATGCTTTTTCCCACTATGTGTCCTGTGCCGTGGCCCATTCAGCATATTGCACATATGTGATGGCATATTCAATATATTGTTGACAATACCCATCACTGCATTCATGCACCTCCAAAGCGTTCCAGATAGAAATACAGCATCTGTTGTTGGCAGCTCAAGTGCTGAGTACAGGCTCTACTCATATACTGCTACTAGCATGCTTGAGGCTCACCTTGAGCTGGGGTAGTTCTAAATTGCTGCATTGCATGATGGCATTTCCATTGAGGATCTGCTTGTATAGTTGTATAAGTGAGGCATATGTTGATTGCGTTGCGCATATGTACATCTGTACATTGTGCATATGTTGATGTCCCATTCAGCACATAGCATCATTTGGCATCAATTCCTTCATCTCATTGTTCGTACGAGATATGCTCTCAGGTGTGGCAACACTTGTCTTGCATTGGAGAATGCAGGCTTGCCACATAACATAAGCCGTTGGTTGCTTCTGAAGCACAATGCATGGCTTTGCTTTAGCAATCTTCGTGACGTTGGTTGTAGGGGTCAGTAATCAGGAGGAATTGCAAGAGAAACTTGCGGCAATGGACAAGAAGCAAGAGGTGGTTTTGGCAAACCAAAGGAAGTTGTTCACTCAGTTTAGTCTTGCTCGAAGGGACCGCCACTCCCCTTCTTACATTCCCACCGCGCCAGATGCCGTTGCTCTGGAGAGCCAATTGTGTGTGATCAGAAACATGTTGTTACAGAGTGCAACAAGCTACGTGGTTGTGTGGGGCATGGGGGGATTAGGGAAGACCACGTTGGCAAGGGCGCTTGTCAATGACCCTTTGATCCAAAAGGAGTTTGAAAAGTGCAGTTTTGTGACAATATCACAAAATCCAAACATCACTCAGTGCCAGAAACAGATATGGGATGCCCTTGTAAGTGCTGAAACCAACGTTCAATTCACCACTACTGAAGAGGGCAGGCTGAGATTGCAAGCAGCATTGAAAGACAAGGGTATGTTCATTGTTTTGGATGATGCATGGTACACAGCTCACGTGAAACACTTTGACTTTGCGTCTGCAAAGAGCCGAGTCCTCATCACTTCACGAAATGAAGAAGTTGGGACATGTGTGAGAGCAAAGCGCTATGCTGCTCGCGCATTGGGTGAGGCTGAGTCGATGGAGTTGTTTTGCAAGCAAGCATTTGTGAATGGGCAACCTTTGAAGTGGCAGATTCCATATGTCAAAGACATAGTGCACGAGTGTGCGGGTCTCCCTCTTGCGTTAGAGGTCATGGGAGCAGAAGCCAGAGGCTACAGCTCAGGTGAAGAAGGGAGATCAGCACCCAAACCCTTGGAAAAGAAAAAGTGGCGAAGGGCAGTGCAGGGCATAAAATCGGATGGAGTGGTGTCGGAGGGTGTGTTCCATAGAGTTTTCAAGATGAGCTTTGATTCTCTTGCAGCACGGCATCGTGCTGCCTTGCTTGATTTGGCTATGTTACCCGAAGACCACGAAGCAAGGGAGTCTGATGTGGTGGATATGCAGGAATGCAATGGCTTGAGTGGTGATGAAGCGTACAAGGTGCTGGAAGAACTGGCCGAAAAATCCTTGATCATTCGCACAGGGAAGTATGAACTGGATGTGTGTGAATTTCAGTCTATTGGTTTTGTGACGTGCCACTTGCACGATGTGGTGCGCGACAGTGCACTGAGCATGATTGCTGAGTTGCCTGTTGCAGAACGTGACCGCTTGGTGTCATCACACTTGAAGAAGCTGGCTTTCGAGGGTCAGAGCTTGTGTGCAACAAAGCTCTCTACAACGCACAGCATTGGGCAGGACAGAAAGTTGGACTTGTGGCAGTTGGAGGTGCCTGAATTGCAGGCCCTTGTGCTGAGAAATGCAGACATGTTGGAGTTGCCCGCACCGCTACTAACCATGAATCTGGTAGTCGTGGATCTGACATCTTCGGGAATTGTTGCCCTGCCGAAACAGGTGACATGCCTTCAATCTGCAAAGGTACTGCGTTTGGATTACTGTGATAAGTTGCTGTGTTTGCCAAGTGAACTGGGCAATATGGAACAGCTCACAGTGCTGTCCATGCGGGGATGCCGTGGCATATTCGACTTGCCAAAATCTGTTGGCAGGCTGTCGAATTTGACAACGTTGCTCATGCCAAGTTGTGGAATCGCACACTTCCTGCCTGTAGAAGAGGGCACTTTCCAGAGTTTGACCAAGCTGGACATCAGCAGGTGTTTTGGCCTGAAGTGCTTGCCTCCCAGTTTGGGAGAATTGGGCAGTTTGGTGGCGCTGGACTTGGATGGTTGCTGGCAGCTGACCTCGCTGCCAGCTACCGTCGGACAGTTGGCACAGTTAGAGGTTCTGCTTTTGCATGGATGCAGAAGTCTCAAGGAATTGCCAAGTGCAGTGACCCTCCTTGGGAACTTGGCAGAACTGGATGTCCAGGGATGTACCAAGCTGACATGTCTCCCTGAAGGTCTTGCTGAGGGATGCCCTGAGCTGGGAATATTGCGCCTTCAGAGGAATGCAGCAATGGCATTCCCAGAATTTGTAGTGGATTTTGAGCAGCTGCAGGTCTTGGGGTTGCACGAGGACTGGACGCTGCCCAGCAGCACGAATGAGAAACTGCGACACCAACAGGTGTCGTTGGAGCAGGAACCAACAAAGGAGTACACTTCCACACAGTACTGTGTGAGTGGCACTAAGCTGTTTGTTCTACAGGAGCCATTTGTTTACTGTGTTGTACCTATACTGTGTGTTCTGCTTATCATTGTCAGAATTCATGCTCGGATTTTGTCACAGTCAGCGTGGGGAATGAGTGTTGTGATACTGCAATGCACACAGGGCATCATATTGACATTCCCATCATCCATCCCATGTATGGGATCAGCTGATGACAGTTTGGTTGTGCAGGAAAGAGACACCCCTCTTCACTGGGCAGCACAATTGGGCCTGACAGAAACGTTGCCTTTCCATCTGAGAGAAACTGGCGTGGACAGTCGCAGCAGTGTAAGTTTGTTGGAAAGAACCTTGTACATTGCAGTGAAGCCTGTGGTATGTAATTTTCAGTGATGTGTGCTGATTTAGTACTGTGTTTGTGCCTCCCATCGCCTGAGCATGACCAGAGTGCTTATGTATTCAACGTGCAACTAATGCCAGTTTGCAAGTGGGGCACCTATTGCTCCCATTTATTGGCGTTGACCAAACAACATGGAATAAATTCCATGAAAATGAACAAAACCTATCAAAACCCTTACAACAGTGCAGATACGGAATCGATTATGTGCAGAAGATCCCAGCAGTGCCACAAGCAACTGCTAATCTGTACGCAAGTCACAATTTGAATAGTTTTGCACAAGCTGCTTGATTTTGGCCCTCAGGCCTGCGCCTCACTCAAAGCAACCTTTCTCAATTGCAAGGGCACAGATCGAACCTGAACTCGGAGAAGGGATGGAGTTGTGTTGGGTGACCCAGCGGGGTGGACCAAAGTAACCTATTTGCCAGTCGATTCAAGTTCATGTTGGGAATCCACGGCAATGTTTTGACAAGCAACCTTTCCTGCGGAGTGATTTCAAACAGTTTTGTGGGCGGCAGTAAGGTCTCAAGCAGCGCAGCTCAGCTCGTGGATTCTTTGCAACAGCAGGCTTCCAGCTGTGAAATGGGGTGCTTCGTGCTGAGTTGCTGGCAGCACCCTGTGCGTATACTTGACTGTCGGCACCGTATGCTGTGTTGGACCGTCCTGCCGCCTGTGCTCAATGTTTGCACGCCGCGGACCCAAGTGTTTGAGGTCATTTTCCTCACTGCTTGAAATTGTGCGCTTGCCTTTCAGTTTGGCAAGACGCCCCTGCATGAGGCGTCAGGTGGCGGACACACGTCAACTGTGCAATTGCTGCTGGACAGAGGCGCATCTGTGGCTGCGGCTGACAGGGTGGGTGACTCCACGGCAATGTTTTGTCAAGCAACCTTTCCTGCGGATTGATTTCAAACAGCTTTGTGGGCGGCAGTAACGTCTCAAGCAGCGCAGCTCAGCTCGTGGATTCTTTGCAACAGCGGGCTTCCAGCTGTGGAATGGGGTGCTTCGTGCCGAGTTGCTGGCAGCACCCTGTGCGTATACTTGACTGTCGGCACCGTATGCTGTGTTCGACCGTCCTGCCACCTGTGCTCAATGTTTGCACACCGCGGACCCAAGTGTTTGAGGTCATTTTCGTCACCGCTTGAAATTGTGCGCTTGCCTTTCAGTGGAGAGGGACGCCCCTGCATGGGGCGTCAAATGGCGGACACACGTCCACTGTGCAATTGTTGCTGGACAGAGGCGCATCTGTGGCTGCGGCTGACTGGGTGGGTGACTCCACGGCAATGTTTTGTCAAGCAACCTTTCCTGCGGATTGATTTCAAACAGCTTTGTGGGCGGCAGTAACGTCTCAAGCAGCGCAGTTCAGCTCGTGGATTCTTTGCAACAGCGGGCTTCCAGCTGCGGAAAGGGGTGATTCGTGCTGAGTTGCTGGCAGCACCCTGTGCGTATACTTGACTGTCGGCACCGTATGCTGTGTTCGACCGTCCTGCCGACTGTGCTCAATGTTTGCACGCCGCGGACCCAAGTGTTTGAGGTCATTTTCCTCACTGCTTGAAATTGTGCGCTTGCCTTTCAGGACGGCAACACGCCCCTGCATTTTGCGTCATGGGCCGGACACACATCAACTGTGCAATTGTTGCTGGACAGAGGCGCATCTGTGGCTGCGGCTACCCGGGTGGGTGACTCCACGGCAATGTTTTGTCAAGCAACCTTTCCTGTGGAGTGATTTCAAACAGCTTTGTGGGCGGCAGTAACGTCTCAAGCAGCGCAGCTCAGCTCGTGGATTCTTTGCAACAGCGGGCTTCCAGCTGCGGAAAGGGGTGATTCGTGCTGAGTTGCTGGCAGCACCCTGTGCGTATACTTGACTGTCGGCACCGTATGCTGTGTTCGACCGTCCTGCCGACTGTGCTCAATGTTTGCACGCCGCGGACCCAAGTGTTTGAGGTCATTTTCCTCACTGCTTGAAATTGTGCGCTTGCCTTTCAGGACGGCTGGACGTCCCTGCATCGGGCGTCAGGTGGCGGACACACGTCAACTGTGCAATTGTTGCTGGACAGAGGCGCATCTGTGGCTGCGGCTACCCAGGTGGGTGACTCCACGGCAACGTTTTGTCAAGCTACCTTTCCTGCGGAGTGATTTCAAACAGCTTTGTGGGCAGCAGTAACGTCTCAAGCAGCGCAGCTCAGCTCGTGGATTCTTTGCAACAGCGGGCTTCCAGCTGCGGGATGGGGTGCTTCGTGCTGAGTTGCTGGCAGCACCCTGTGCGTATACTTGACTGTCGGCACCGTATGCTGTGTTCGACCGTCCTGCCAACTGTGCTCAATGTTTGCACGCCGCGGACCCAAGTGTTTGAGGTCATTTTCCTCACTGCTTGAAATTGTGCGCTTGCCCTTCAGTTTGGCAAGACGCCCCTGCATGAGGCGTCAGGTGGCGGACACACGTCAACTGTGCAATTGTTGCTGGACAGAGGCGCATCTGTGGCTGCGGCTGCCATGGTGGGTGTCTCCACGGCAATGTTTTGTCAAGCAACCTTTCCTGCGGAGTGATTTCAAACAGCTTTGTGGGCGGCAGTAACGTCTCAAGCAGCGCAGCTCAGCTCGTGGATTCTTTGCAACAGCGGGCTTCCAGCTGCGGAATGGGGTGCTTCGTGCTGAGTTGCTAGGAGCACCCTGTGCGTATACTTGACTGTCGGCACCGTATGCTGTGTTTGACCGTCCTGCCGACTGTGCTCAATGTTTGCACGCCGCGGACCCAAGTGTTTGAGGTCATTTTCCTCACTGCTTGAAATTGTGCGCTTGCCTTTCAGGAGGGCAACACGCCACTGCATCGGGCGTCAGAGGGCGGACACACGTCCACTGTGCAATTGTTGCTGGACAGAGGCGCATCTGTGGCTGCGGCTACCCGGGTGGGTGACTCCACGGCATTGTTTTGTCAAGCAACCTTTCCTGCGGAGTGATTTCAAACAGCTTTGTGGGCGGCAGTAACGTCTCAAGCAGCGCAGCTCAGCTCGTGGATTCTTTGCAACAGCGGGCTTCCAGCTGCGGAATGGGGTGCTTTGTGCTGAGTTGCTGGCAGCACCCTGTGTGTATACTTGACTGTCAGCACCGTATGCTGTGTTCGACCGTCCAAGGTGGCATGCTCCCAATGACACTATGCTATGCACCCCTAAGAATCTCTGGTGTGTATAGAGTCTCTGGCAGCGATGGGAGCAATCATAGGGGGCCTCAAGGCACCTTTTTGCTCCCTCTCTGAATATCGACATCTGTGCATAGTTTTCTCTCCGATTTCCACACAACAATCACCTTCCCCTTCAATGTTGCTACCTTGTGAAGCACGCCAGCGATTTGGGTGTGGTGTCCATGCATCAATGATGGCAGAACTCGCTGGACCTTTCTCACTGCTTCAACCTTGAATCTGGCAGCTTTTCTGACCCGAATTGGATCACCCAATGCTGGTATGTCCAAAAGATGTTGAACCACAACAAGGGTAGGAATATTTCTCTAACTACTTTCCGCAACCTTTTTGTCAAAAGTACAGTTGGCTTTGATTCACTGCCACACCCTTTCTCAGACCCGTTGTCTTCTCCATAGTTCACCAGGATGCTGCCTAGGAAGATAGTGATCTCCAGTTTTGCAAAAGGCTTCAGAACGCCTTTTCTTTTCCACTCGAGATGCCAACACCTTCGTTGAAGCCAATCTCACGCAACAAGCATTTCAAGTGATTTCCTGTCACGACAGTCGCGTGTCGAACGCCATGTTCGCCCAGGTCGCTGGACCAGTTTGACAAAGTTGACTTGACCAGGGCTGAATCCCACGCTGATCTGCCTCATGCGACGATCTCTTGTGCTCGGAAGCAAGCAGAACGCAGCCCTGGCTTCTCGATATCCCTTCCACACACAGCACTATCCAAAGTTCGGCTTGTACAGCCATCGCCCGCTTTGAGGTCACAAACCGTCGCACAGCACTCGTTGGCGTCGTTGCAATGTCAGGCCTGGTTGTCCGTGCAGCCTCGGTCCCTGGCTTAACCTCCCCTGCCACGCTCGGCACCGTGTTGACAGCTCTCACTGCTGTTCCTTGAGGCCAGCGGCGCCCTCGCACGTCCTCAACCCTCGCATAAGGCCAACAAACGTCAACTCACGTGCTTTTCGCAGAAGCTGCAGCGCTGCGCTGCATTGTTCGCAGTAAACTGGGCTGGGCCTGGTCGGTCCAGGGCAGTCACAGGCCCAGGCTCGTTCCCACAGCCAAACACAAGGATGTGCAGTGACTGGGACAGCTTGCGACGCTGGGGGCAGGAGGCTGGAAGCCCACGGTTCAGTCGGCAACTGGCCTTACACAGTGCTCACAAACTGCACCAAGTGTTCGGGGCTTAGACCCGAACTTGCTTTGGCTGCTTCCCAAATCGCGCACAGCAACTTCAAATGGCCCGGGTGGAAGGGTTGGGTGACATGTGATGGAGAAAGGTTTGGGCAGCTTGGGCAGTGTGGAAAGGGGTTGGACAGTGATTTGTGAGATTGGGGTGGGCTGGCAAATGTGCACTTACTGTACAATGTACACAGGGTCAGTGCAGTGCAGTGAGTGCACTACATTCCTTAACGAAATGCCACAGCATATAGCCATGTTGTTGTACATGACGTAATTAGCAAGTCTAGTTTGGCATCATTTGAAGTGCGATAAGATTGATGTGGCAGTACAGGTGTCCAGACAACAGCTATAACTTGTGCAGTGATACACACTGGCTGAGGTCAGACAGCCTGAATGTTGCAATTCTGTGCCTGTTCTGATTGTTATGGGCAATGTGCAGCACGGTTGCACGGCCCTTGCAGGGGCATCTCTGGGTGGCTACAACACCACAGTCGAGCTGTTGTTGAGCCGCGGTGCACACGTGGACAGTGTTGACAAGGTGAGCTTTCCAAACACGTTGTTGTACCTGCAATATGCCCAGCTCATAATGCAGCCAGCGTTTTCCCTTGGAGCCTTGCCGGGCGATGTCTGAATTGAGGTTACACTTTCAGAATGTTGCCAGACACATTGTACGAAACAGGTGCTTTGGGCTGGGCACAGTGACCTCATGAGCGACGGCCTGTAGCAGAACTCTATGTCCTACAAGTCTGACCCCTCTCCTTGAACACCAAAGAAGGGTTGGTCGTTTGGGGATTTGCCGCTAGGAACCACAGCCGGCATGCTCAACTCGCCTCAAGGAACAGTGGTTGATGTGCAAGTCGGTAAATGGGCAGCTCCTTGCAAATTTCGGTTCACTTCAGTCTGTGACTGTGGTGGGCACAAACAAACGTGTTTTCCTCGTTTACGTTTTGATCAGGTCCAAACATCAACGTGATGCGAATCACACGTCTCTGTTCCTGTTTCGAAACACCAGACGTACTCCAGGCATTTGTGTGCCTGTTTTCACAGGTCAAAAGTATGGTGGACACTTCCCTTTTCGTTTGCCCCCCAAGTACACACATTTTGCTGTTGCACTGTACTTCAATGCCATTTTCTTGTTGCAATACTGGTCCGATTTTATTGAGTTATGTTGCTTTGTCTGAGTTGGCTGTCCTTCCAATTGTGACTGGTTTGTCGGTTCTGTGAGCCCTCCCACTCGAAGAACCTTCTGTTTGGCCAAGCCGACTTTCATGCATACATCCAAAAACCCCGTGGCCTGGTGCGCGAATTGGAGGCCCAGGAAAAGGGTGTTTCGTGTTGGATTCTTGTTTCATTGGAAGCTTTCCTTTGGAAACACAAGCGTCTGTTGGACGTTGGCATTGAGGTTTCCACAACTCGAATGTGGGGCCCACGTTCACTTTCCAATTTAGAAATTCCTAATGCTGTGCGCACGTTTGCGTTTCTGTTGTGGGCAAGCCAATCATAATTGAGACGTTCGTGTTCACGTTTAAGGCGCCTATGCCCGCCACTGGTGTGCGGTCTTGCAAGCTCGGGGGCTATAAAAGCGGCCTGGAGGGCTCTGGTGGTTGGCAGTGACATTTCATGGCCACTCTCATGTTTGTGCTTGTGAGGACGGCGATTGGAGTGGCCTGACTTGTCCCAAGACGGTGTTATACTAGCAGCCTCGAGAATTTGGGAGCGCCACTGTGGGGGTGTGCACAACACAGCAGCGTGCCAAGGTGGCAAGTTGCCAATGGCATCTTGTACTGCAACGGACTGTCACACTGCCATCACCAGGGCAATGACCAACTTTGCAACATGGTGGTGAATCGCCTCTGGCAATTGACACCCGCCAAGCAACTGTGCCACTTACATCTGTGTCGAACTGGACGCCAAGGCAGGAAGTGGTTGATTACCTGCTGTCCGAATCAGGGCTACTGGGAGGTTTCTTGCTGGACGTTGTCCAATTAAGGCATTTTCAGCATTTTGGGCTGGATAATTTGCCTGAAGTAGAGTCTACTATGGCGTCTCCAGCCGGTCATTTCAATCTGATATGGAGAAAGCTGTGGATTCGTACACAAGAATAAAGTCTTTATGGAACCCAGGTGCTCAGAAGCAGCTACGTAGTCCATGTTGCCAATTTTTCCTCCACGTTTTTGATTGCTAATTTCCGCTGGAAAATGCGAGCTAGCATTGCATAGGACCCATTGGTCTCGCCATTCCCTGTGCCTGCAGCTTGAAGTCGCAGCGGCAACATGCAAAACTGCATTGACAAGCTGCCTATTGGGGTTACCGATTTGTGCTGACAGAAGCTAGTTGGCATGTGTGCAAGCTGCATGTATGGATCTTCAGATGTGTGACATGCTCTACAGGATGGCGACACGCCGCTGTCAGGGGCCATATATAAAGGGCACCCGAGCACCGTGGAACTGTTATTGAAGCATGGTGCAAACACGGACATACAAAACGAGGTGGGTTTGTCTCCTACTTTAGGACTGACAAAATGTTTCAATATCCATTCGAGCAGAGCAATTCTTCATTCAAAAGACAAGCCACACAGAGTCTCGTCGATTGAGGAGTCCGTCCTATCATGGAGTCTGGCGTGGTGCATTCGTCAAACACGCGCATTAGTGCCGAAAGACACCAGCAGCAAACTGAATACAAATGCTTTCTGGGCATTGTGTCGACGAGCCGATGGCATTGTACAATGCCCAACATGTTTGTGCCGCTGCACGTATGTTTTCCTCTGCAGTTTTATCACTTGCATTCTGCCGTTTGGAAAAGCAGCCCTCGCCCATTCTCGGCATAAGTTGCATTGATATCAACAACACAGATGTTGTGATGAAATTGGTGTCATCCCCGTGCATCAGAACCTTAAAATCGTTTGAGACATTGATAACTCATCCACTTTTGAGACTGGCAGAGCTGGTGGCTGTCCACTGTTGAGTCGTTCTTGAAATCTCTCATAAATGGTGGAGAGCTGGAGTCACAACATGTTTGTGTGTTCATATGGTTTGCGTGTCCACAGACAGGAGCGACCCCTCTTTTGCTGATTTGGCAAAAGATGTGGCACGAGAAGACTGATGAACAGACAGCTGCGAAAATTGTGCAGATTATGTCAGATTACGGTGCAGCTTTGGAAGTGCCAAACAAGGTAACATAATTGCTCAGTGCTTGGTGTCATGCTGCAAAGTGGGAATGCACAAATGGTGTGCACCATAATGCAGCAAGTTGTGGTGGCATCCTGTCACCATTTTTTGTCAACGGTTTTAGTTGCTGCCGTGAATGGCACCTGAAGTAATGCGCAGAACTGGCAGGGCGCCAGTAGGCTTTGCTGCCAGCACCCCGGCCAGTGTGACAATGCGGGGCCCCGCCACTGAGTCGGGGGCTTGATGCAGAATGTGGGGGGCGTGGACGATGGTGTAGAGGCATGCAAGATGGCACCCCCTGCATTCCTGACGTCAGCCTTGATGGTCACGGTGAAGTGGAACTGAAGTGTAGTGTTCTAAATCCTGGGCAGCTGGAGGAAGGACCAGCAGTCCTTGCAGGAACACCCCAAGGAGTGCGTTCCAAAATGTTTCTGATTGTCGTTGGTGGATCCTATCCAGCGCTGGAGTTTGGTCCCATCAGATGTGATTAGCAGCGGCACATTTTGCATCGCTCAACAAGGCTGCAGGCCTCTGTTCTTGCGGTCTCACCAGATGTGACAATGATCAAGGAACAGAACTAAGCAACGTTTTGAACAACGTTTTGCACGGCTCTAAGGGTATGCCCCACATAAGGCTACAAACTTGAAAAATGACAGAGGTTCTAGTTTGATAAGGCACCTCAGTGCACAGCACGTTTTCTGAGGGTTTTGGTTACACATGTGGGCATTCTTTCGGTACCTGGGACAAGCTTGTTTTGGATAGACACAAAAGGGTACCTGCCCTTCTTTCTCAAAGGCTGCCGAGTTTTGGTGAACAGTGCCCATAGTCCAAGTAAGACTGCCACCTGGGCCAACAGAGCTTGCAGTAGAATGCTCTTGACGTACAGTGCATGCTTTGGTACCTCAAAAAGTCAAAGTAAACAAAGGGGGTGAGGTTGTACAGTTGAAAAGCACACTGGTGGTGTCCCACACCACCAAAATGCTCCAGCGCGCATGAAGTTCGCAGACAGATGCGCAACAGAGTAATGGGCCCAATTTTGCATTATCTGTCCTTTGCTGTAGTGCCTTTGCATCCAAATGTATCGTGGCTTGTAAAGGGGGCTTGAGAATGCCCAATTACATTGTGCATGGATGTGCAGAATGGCATGACTCCGCTGATGGCGGCTGCAAGTGACGGCCACACAGCTGCTGCAGAACTGCTGCTGAGCAAAGGAGCGTCTGTGACGCCGACTGACGAGGTAACATTGCATGAGCGACGGCTTGAATGTAGCATGAGCCCAGTGAATTGATTCGCATGAATTCACGTTAAGAACATGCAGATGCTGTTAACATGTAGTGGCACCACGCCTTGCTATTCTTGAAAGTGTGCAGCAGAAGATTCGAATCCCGTGGAAACTGCAAAGTTGCCTGTGCTGTCGAAGAGCGCACGCTAGCCGTGTTTGACTCCTGGTTGCTGGGCATCTGCATTGAATGAGTACTCACGTAGTCGATTGGATCCAGGCACTCAGTACCACGGAAAAGTGCACACAAGCCACGTTGACTCCTGGTTGCTGGGCATCTGCATTCATTGAGTATGCACGTAGTCGATTGGATCTAGGCGCTCAGTACCGCAAAGTCGTTGTATACTTTCAGTCCTATTGCAGACACTGTGGGCAAAGCCCCTCCCCCGGTTCTGTCTTTTGTGGTGTAGCCACCAGATGGCCTGCAGACCTGAGCACAATGCGACCCCCTGGATCCAAAAACGTGGCTTCCCATTTCATCATCAGTTTGTCCACCACGCTGGGCAGCCCTCACAATTGCTTTGCGGGTCTTTGTTGTGTCAGGACGGGAGAACGGCGGCACAGTATGCGAGCGCTGGGGGCCATCATGAACTGGCAGAGAAGCTGGGCGGTGCCGACTGATGCGATGGCTTGGCGGGCTGATCGCAATCTGGGTCTTAGAGGTCCTCGAAAGGGAGTCACGTCTGTTGGTGGCAAAGTGTGGGGCATTTGCTGGTGAAATGACTCATGGCTGGCAATGTCGAGTGTCCATTATCCCAACTACCGAATCTTGTCCATCGCTTCGTCCACATTGATTGGCTCGTCACACTCGTCTTGCTGGTAAAGGAGGCCCTTGCTGGCGGGCCTGCACCACGAAAGACGAAGCGTTGGGGTTTCGCAGCAGGTTAAGGATTCTGTGCTTGAGGACAGAGTTGGGAGTTCAGGGGAATGCTCTTGGGTAGCAACTGTACGGTCGCCTTTGAGATGTTCTGTGGGGAGCGACAGGATACGCGCTCGGCGCTCCCTTTTGCTGTGTCTGGACCATCACCACCATCCGTATCGTTGATGCTCCCGGCCGTCTGTTTGCGCATTTGTAAATTGGCCAGTACAGTGTGGGTGTCCACGCTGCATGTGGGATATACTCTGTTGGTCACACACGATGGTCAGGCGCATTTCCAACGGCACCAGTTTACTGCAGGAAGAAGCTGGAGCCTGGGATCAACGCTTGAGGTCTAGCGTGCCGGGATGACATAAAACTTGCGGCGCTCGATCATTGCACCGTCATTTCCATGCCACGCACATATGCATGCCTCCTCAGAATCCGTAGATTACATTTGCCGAACAAAATGACAAAACGCAGCCCGTGCACGTGGTAGGCGATGATGGGTGTGAAAACCACGCAAATAGTTTGTTCGGAGTCGATTATTCTTGGTCCCATGTCGCCACACCCTTTTGTTCCATGAAATGCAGTGAGCTGGCATGAATAACAGAGTCATGGACTATGTTCAGTGTATGTAGTGAAGAAAATCAATCCCAACCCTCAATCCCCATGCCCCACACAAGCCCACGCACATTGCACATGTGTTAGCAAGCGCACCAGCATTCCAAGGCCCTGTGGCACAAGCTCAGAAATATCCCACTGAACTACTGCATCTACCAAACGCCTCGCAGATTCATGGCATGCGAAATGGGCGTTTGAAAAATCTAGACAACCCAAGAAAACATGCGCTCGGTCCTCCCACCAAAACCCACACGTACGACAAGCTGGTGAATCAAAGAGCTTGCAGCGAAAAAGAAAAAAGCGACATGGAAATGCATCGGCCAAAAATTGACACAAAAAGGCGACCTCTTCATGGGAAAAGGGCTTCGCCCAATCAAGGGAAAGTGTGAACGTTCAATTCACAGCCAAGGTGCAATGCAATGCTGTTGTACGTTGCCAATCATGAGTAGCCCATGCGTTGTAGTACTTGGTCACGCGCAGCCTGATAGCTTGGGCACAATGGGTTATCCTTGGAGCTTGAGCGCCTGCAGCTCCCACTCCGTCACTGGCTGCAGTCGCCAGGCCATCTGCTGCTACGCTTTCCACATGCCTCCTGCATCGTTCATTGTGTCTGGCAATCGGACATTGGCATTGAGCTCGGCGTGTGCGGTACCCAAGTATTGCATTAGCGCCCCCGGATCATTGCTGACTTGTGAGAGAGCTCCTCTCTGATTTTCTGGCCAAAGGGTATGAGGTCACCTCCACCAAGAGTTTCTTTTGTTGGAATGCTTTCATGCATGCGTGCTGCGAAATTTGAGAGTGGGAGGGGGGAGCAACCCCGTCGACGCATCATCTTCATTTGGCACAGCACCACAGGGCGCTGAAAGTGCATACTCCAGCGAGAGACTACTTTCAACATTGGAAGAGAGTTGAATGGGCAAGTAACGAGGTGCACTCAGGACGGGATTCAGGTGAAGAAGCGCTTCGCTTATGATTGTGCAATGCTCGTCGAAATTGCAAATGGGAGAATTGTCAGCTTCCCGAAATTCTGCAAGTTTTCGCACTAGCATCTTGACGTCCTCGTGGTCGCTGCTGCCTCGGACCTTGGCGGCTGCTGGAATCAAAAAGTTCGATGTGCACGTGTGGTGGAATCGCACGCGCTTAAATGAACACGGCATTTGGCTGTATCCATGCATTTGCCACGCTCCACCTGGAGCATACATTTCCGTTGCAACCTCAACCACGCCATTACAACGCGGAGCCGCAGTGAATTGCCCGCTCCCCAGGCTGCATTGCATTGCACGTGCGCCCCCATTGCAGTGAATGGCGCACACGTTCGCACTCGGCAGCCTTCTGCAGCCACTGGGCCTCGAAGCGCCACAATTTGGCCCCTATTCAAACTCCCGGGGGCACAACCACCAAGTCTCTTACCACACCTTGCTCTCGAAGGGAAATCAGTGGGCAATTTCATGCTGTGCGCCATCACGCCGCGCGGCCCTTTGTGGACAGCGGCACGCGGCGTTCAAGGGAGCCCGAATCTTCACGATGGCAGCCGCTTCAAGGGTGAATGTGTGGCTTCGCTCGCCAACTGAATAGACTGGAGATGGCAGTGCTGCAGTGTTTGGTCCTCATGCGGAAGCTGTGCCACGCCCTTCATGATGCCGGCCTTGGCAAGGAAGCGGCAGTATCCGCGCCATGAGGGGCGGGTTGTCCATATTGTAGGGTTTCTCTTTTTGAAAGAACTCAGCAACTCTGAAAGCCTTGTTCTTGCTGAGTGGCCTGCTCCACAATCAAATCGGAAGGGATTCAGCAGCGAATTGGTAGCTGGGCGGCCTTGGCAATTTGATGCCAATGGTAGGTGCACCAATTGGCATTGCGATATTTGTGCAAGGGGCTCGGAGAATGGGAGTAGGTCTAAGTGTATGAACTTTGATGCTAATGCAAGCCCTGTTGATAGCATTGCGTCTGGAACAGTGCTTGCGTCATTGTTGTGTACTTGCCACACTCAGGAACTCCCACCCTTTGTTGTTGAGTGGACAGGAGTCTCAGCGGTCCTGTTCAGCATCGCGTTGCTCGTTGTGTGGCATGTGCTACTGCGCCTTCAGCCACTCTTCTTGCAAGGGCATAAGAGGCGTCCAAACCGGACATGGGACTCCCTTCTTCGATTTTCCTTTTTTAACTTGTTCATCGTGTCCCCCTTCAGCCAACTGCACTGTACCCCGAAAATGTTGTGGTTGGGAGCGCGGATCAGCGCTGCAGATGGCACTGACAGGAAGCTCAGTTTACCTGGTGACTGTGGTTGCCTGCATGATGTGATCTTCACAATGTCGCCGATGCCACATTCAACTGCCTCGTCATGGGCGTGAAACACAGCGGCCCGTCAGCAACCAGTACGTTGCTTGGCACAATTCCCTGCAACATGAATTGGCAAGACAATGTTGATAGGAAATACACCACAACAGGGCAAAAGCCTACTTATAAACTGGCTGGCAGTGTATCTGGCCCATTCGCGTTGGCAGGGAGCTTCACTGTGTCGTGTATGTTGCAAGCAACTTTCGCTGCTTCCCTGTTTCTCAGCCTTGCTGCGGCGTACAGCTCAATACAATGCCGACATTTTGTCCAAAACTGGCTAGCGTTTTCTGATTTTGCTTTGCACCTCCTTGGCAGCAGACTCGAAGGTTGATGTCAACATTGTGATGACGCAACAAGCAGCTGGTATTTTTTGTGCTTTGATGCTGCTTTTCCAATTCTTTCAATCCCCCCAAGCTCAATTGTCCCCACAATTCCCTAAATGAATCACAATTCAACTTTCAAGAGCAGCCTGAAAAGATGAACCATTTCACAACACGGCCGAAGCCCGATCTCTCAAGGGAAGTCGGCAACTCGCCGTCCAGTCGCATGCTCACCATCAATTTCCTGGTGAGCTTCCGAGCCCTGTGGTGCTTGGGCAACATCACAAAGTGGTCCACCGCCATCAGCACGCTCTTCATCATTTGGTTGGACCCAACCCACGACGACCCTTCACGGCAGGCGCCACGCACAAAGGGGCCCCTTCTCGTCGCTCCGCCGGGGCATCGCCTCAGAGCACCCTGCTACATTGCACAAATGTCCGATGCCAGCCACTTCTGGACAGGAGGCATGAAGGTCATTCATGGAATTAGGTGCTCAGTTTCCAGATTTTTCTGGGCCCTCGCACCCTTCATGAGATTGTTCGGAAATGACACATACCAAACAACCCCCTTGCATTGGCCCTCGCCGCACCTCCTGGAATGCCGCCAGGCAACCTCACCACTTCGAAAATGTGCACGCCACAGCGTTTACCCTGCCCAATGAATGTCCCCGCCATGTTGCCGCAGCAGCTGCGCAGCTGCGTCCCCTCTGCAAGCATTCCGTCACTTTGACCCTGCCCACTGCCCAAATGTCAAACTCCCGAAACTCCCTCGAAGGTCGTCGCCCCCACACACACCCCACCCCCCCCACCCCCACTACCACCACTTGGGGTGTAATCCGGGGTGCGAGCCCATGTCCCACAATGTGGGACCCACATTAACAATGGGACACAAGTTGCCATCAACCGCCGATTGCTTCACGTAGTTTATCAGGTCTGCGCACTTGCAGCTGAGTCTATTAGGGCCGGGTACTGTGAGCGAGAGAGCTGAGAAAGGAAGGGTTGAATTACAGAAGGGGCAGCAAGTGCCCCATGGGAAAGATTAACCCCTGGCCGTGAGAGGACGAATCTTGCCCCTAAACGGATGGATGTTGGACTTAGCCTCCCAATTGTGGGTGCTAGGGCAGCGCTCATCCGTTTAAGGTCAAGATTCATCCGTAAAAGGGCATAGATTGGTTGCACGCCGTGCCAAAACATCATTGAAAGATGTCATCAGGATGTTCATTTGTTCACTACTGCCCACAGTACACAGTTCACCAGAGCTGGGTAGTCACCGAGGGGCCTATCAGGGCTACAAGAACTCCCGGCGACAGTTTCACGCCGTTTGGACGACACTCGCGTCCGCGTGACCAGGCCTCTCGCCTCGGTGATACGCGTCTGCTCCAGCTGGCCCCTCCGGGACCTTGCTTTCGCCGGAGCGGCGGGCGCCATGGAGCTGCACCATAAGTTGCGGCGTGACCCCAGTTGGCATCCGAATGCGTGCAACATCTGCGGGCAGGTAGGCCGCCGCACACCCCTTTTGCTCTCCGCTGGAAGGCAACAACGCCTTAGAATTCTGAGGGTCTAGGGGGTGGTCCGTTTCTGGCGCCGTTCCGTGAGCCGAAAAATGGACATGCTAGTTCTCTCGCGGGGCTGGGACTTGGAAGTTGGGTGTGTGGGGGCTGGGTGGAGTGGGGGTGCATTGGGGGGGCCTCACTTCCACGAACAGCGGCTGTCATCAGCCGCTACATGTGCAAGATCTTAATTCTTGCCAGAGTTGGAATTTTTGTCTGGGCAGTGCACTCGACGCTGTGGGTGCAGCAGGTGCGTCCATGCAGGGGTGCTGGCTGTCGAAAGTGTTGTGTGCCCGGCTCTGTGTGGCTGATCCGAGTCCTGGTATCCCCCAGGCTGCCTGGAGCTGTATCAATCCAGGCAACTACTTGGTCGACTTGTTGAGAAATGTTTGTCCTGGCTCTGGCACAGTGTTTGATGGTTTAATATATGTTGTGCGCACCGGTTACACGTTTCGTCGAATGGCTGTTCCATCGATACAACAATGCTCATCACGCGTCTGCAGGATGTGGTTAAACTGCCCCATATTTCAAGAATTGTGAGGTGGATGGACTGCAGTTATGGATAATTGAATCAAAAATGTTGCACACTTCAGATGTTGACTACACAAGCCCTGTAGCCTTGCAGGCTGTCAGAAATTGGGTCTAGCTGTCTGCAAACTGGGTGCATGTATGTGGGTATGCCCATGGGGCATATGCCAACTTGTTTTTTCGAACATAGAGCTTGTCCAGGTTTGTTCACTTGTCAAAGCACCACATTTTGTTCTGTTTCTGTTTCCATTGGACAGCATCATGGATTTATCACTCTTCTCAGCTCAGTTCAGGCACCAGTTCAGCTTTGCCCTTGATACATGGTTGGGTACCAGGTGGAATGTGGACTGGAAGCACCAACACTCCCATTCCGTTGAGTTGTAGTGTGGGATGTCATAAGGTGATACAACATTCTCTGTGCTGCAGTTGGGCCATCAAGCTGTCAACTGCACCAATGGCACAATCAACTGGAGGCAAATCTATGGTGATGAGGCTTTCACCATCAAACCACCTGTTTTTTGGTCAGAGATGGCGGACAAGCAGAAAAAGAAAGAAGTGGATGTGAAAGAACTGGCAAGACGAGCAAGAGAATATGCAAGGGTACGAGGTGGCATGTGGTAATCAGTTATGTGGGCATGTTGTTTTTGTCTCTTTTGCCAGTATCAACTGCAACCTACTAGCTTTCTGTTGAGGGTTTGTCTTAGGCTGAATAGCTGCTTAGGAGGGCTTGGATGGCCTTGTTTGTCTTTGATGGATCTGCTGGACTGATGGGTTACTGCACTGTTGTCATGTTTAAGCAGAAAGTGTTGCGAGCAAGAAATGCCAACGAAATATTTGGTGAAGGTATCAGGGGCAGAAATCTGGTGTCTGGAAGAATATACGCGGTGGAGCCATAATCTGGGCAGTCCAGTTGTTCACAGATTGCTTTGCAGACTTCAAGCACAGGCTATCTGGTCATCGTGCCATACAGGTTATTCCTGGGCCACTGGGCCATTTTCTTACCTGTGTGCAGTGTCCAAGTTGCAACAGTCTGCAACAGGGCAGGCCACTTAGCAAGCTGAACTTGGCCTGGCAAAATGGGTTGACAGGAAAAGGAGAACAGAAGTCCCCCTTGCAAACCAATAAACAGCAGCCTATGTTTACAATTTGATCAAGGACGATTGCTTTCAAATTGAGGCGCACATATCCAATCTCATGGGCACTTGTCTTTGCTCATCGTGTCCCCAACTGTAGTGCCAGCATGTGCTCAGTTTCCTGACCTGAATACATATGGCAATTCTTTCTGCAGATGCAGTGCCAAGCGCAGGGCATTGACTATGACGAAATGATACGAGGGGCACAAGTTTTCCAACATGCCCCTGAACAGAAGCCACAGCTCCCAGTCACCAGCCAGCAGAATGGCGGCAGTGCTGGTAGGGACATGCCACTCTTGATTGCATTATAGGGCGTTAGTGCTAGCTGACAAACGCCAGTCAGCTCTAAGCTTGTGCTGTAGGCTCTTGCCTTTTGTTCTTTTGTCTCCTGAGCAGCGTTCACCCCGTCCTGCGTCTGTGACTGATTGATCACAAATAACTTGAATTTTGTCATTGTGGACTGGAGTGGCACTGAGCCTTACGACGAATTGAAACATGCATCCAAAGGGCACCAAAGGGTTATCGAATATTGGGCACAGCACAGAAGGCAAGTCAACTGTGCTTTCTTTTGTTGCATACTCTGTTGATTTCAGCTTGGTGTGTCTGTGGATTTTATCCATCAAGGATGCGATGAATACAGCCCTTGTATCTGAAAGGCGGCGATGGCTGCAGCTGCACATGACCAGTGTTGACAGTGACTTTTGGGTCTCTTCTTTGGATCTGTTAAGGAACGCATACCCCCATCTTTGGATAGCCATACCCGCAAGTGCATTCAGAAACTGGGATATATGCAGCCAAATGCACTGGCAATTTGAGTAGTGGTAAATTCATAACCAAGAATGGGGAACACAATATAGTCGTGATCCTTCACGAGCGTGGTGAACAAATGATGCTCTCTTCAAACCGATAGAGACACTGCCCCTAACGTTGGGAGTGGGGCGACTGTGATTGCTCATTCGCTGTCAATAGCATGTAGTCACAAGAATTGCCCAGCAGGTTTCCAACTCTACCATCTGCAATAGTCGCCAAGGTAGTGTCCACCAGCTTCTGCTGCAGTTCAGGTCTGTTGCAGGCGTGCATGCGCACTCTCACTGTTATCATCGATCAGATGGCATGGATTGTCAACTCCAGAAAATGTTGTGCCTGCGTTTCATGCTGCAGATCGATGTGCTGGCAGGTCCACAATGACGAAAGTGTCACCCACTGATTGTAGCCAATAAGTGCTCTCGTTATTGTGCCAAAACTGTAGGCTTGTCACCGATTGGTGGACCCTTCACCCCAAAACAAGCTGCTAGAAAGACTGCAATATCAGCACAGCAGGCTAAAAGGGCGTGCAATTAACTGTCTCCGCGTAATGCCAATGTCTGCCCGCCTGACGTGCATGTGTGTGCGCTATGCCCAAGCAGGTGGGGCTGTTAAGAAGGAAGCACCTGAGGGAGACCTGCCTGAGGGCTGGGCGGTCGCTCGAGACGCCCAGCAGCGCGTGTACTACTGGCACAAGAAGACACAAAAGGTGCAGTGGGACAAGCCCACGAAGGACACGCCCGTGAGCTAGGGCGACCCAATGCCATTTCAAGGTGGGCTGCCCAGCCAGCCAATCCCAGCATCGCTGCATCCATCGATCTCCAGAGCATGTCCATGGCAATCGAGTCGTGCCAGGGATGGACATGCTGATGCACCCAGGAGAGGCGCTACAGGGATGAGCGCCAGGGGCAGCAGGGAGACAATGCTGGTTGCTGGATTTCAATCGTTTGTCTCGTCATTGGGCCCCAAGGTCACGAAATCTGGACGCAAGTTGATGTGGAAGGGCGCTGTTCTGTGGGTGGAGTGTCTATCTGCGATTGGAGCTGGCTGCCTGGGACATGGGTTGTGGTTGTGGTGACCTAATGGCGACTGAATGGAGATTGGGGGAAGGGTGCCTGCTTTGACCCAAGCCTAGCTCTGCTGCCGATTCGATGATGACGTAGCTGGATAGGTGGTGAATGTTTGAGGGACAATGGGGAGGAAAGCTGTGTCAACGCCAAGCGCTGAAAGGACTCGTTGTGCGTGGGTTGCCCCTGACACATGCTGGGGGCGATACACCCACAAGCGTTCTGGCTGGTGGACGGCCTGGGACTGCGCCTTGCACTGCGTTGAGCAGTCCCCAACAACGTCTTTGGTGTATGTTAGCGCAGCAGTGCATGTACCTACCACACTTTGTGATTGTCGTCGAGGCCAGATTCCTCCCCCGCTTGGCCCCCTTTCCACCTGCAGATGGATTGAGTGCCTACGACTGGTTGTTCTCAGGATGCCTGTTGCCTGGCAGCGTTTTGGCAGCATCGTGGGTACAAATTCATTCCCGCCTTACACGAACAGAATGAAACCTATGTGAAGAATTTCTCACGTCCCTTTTTGTTAGGCATCACCTTGGTGACCCGGTCACTGGCTTATTGGGCAAGACAAGAGGACACTACAGGAACTGGAAAGGAAGTGTGGGGCTTCCGTGGATCGAACACGGGACCTTTAAATTTTAAGTCTAACGCTCTCCCAACTGAGCTAAAGCCCCTTGCAATCAATACAATAACTGATAAATGGAATATATAATAAGCTGAGAGCAGCATCTGATTTTTAGCTCTCCTTTCCATTTGCAAGGGAATTGTGTGCCCAAACCACAGACAACATTCTGGGGTTAAATGATGATGTGCTGCAAAAGGATCTCCGTTCCATTCCATGCGCCCGGGTTGCAGCAGTTCAATGACACCACGTTATAAAAACGGGCGCACTAGCCGTTTTCAATCGCCACCCACTGCACATAAGTGCGCAGCACTGTGTTCGACAGTCAATGGCGAAACAGCGTGAGGGAATAAATGCATTGATCGCGAAGGCCCACCACAATTGTCAAAAATGACCTGGTGGCCTCACTTGGTCCTTTTGAGTGGTATTTCGATACCTATGAGTCTAGTATCCCACTCACAATATGGTTGGACTGCTGTGATTGCACAAACACAGCAATGCCTTCACAACACTGCCTACAAATGTGTTTTTCACCGCTTTCCGTGGTCACCTTCACAGCGAGACACCACTAAACACTTTCTCAGTGTTGTGTGCCTCCCTCGCTGCCCTCACCGTACGTCGCACGTCGCGAGCTAAGGGTCGACAGGCACACAGCTGTGTGCCCAAACCCGTCAACACTCACACAACGCAGCGAGTGAAACAACACAATAGCGCACCACACTACGCGCCCCCTCGGCGTGACAGCGAGCTTATATGCAAGCTTATTGCTGGGTACACCCCTTCGCGGCGTTTCGCACACGTCTGTAGCACGTTGGGACGTGGTTTCACGTCCAACCAGACCTACCGACCCGTGGTACCGTCGACACTAACGCAGCCGGTTCGACAAAACGAGTGCGCTTCGAACGACACCCTGCGTTGGCTTTGGCACTTTTCCGACGCAGAACACAGGTGCACACAAAGCCAACAAAGTCACAAAACACGCCACCGCTTCTCGCAGGGTTGTGCAAACATGTTCAGCGGGTGGAAACGTAAACGACCCTTCCGTTTGGGAGTTGGAGCAAAACCCCGTCGGGGTAAGCAACAAGCACACGAAACGAGGGCTGCCAACGGCTCACCCCTTGCAACGCCGACCACGACGCGGGTTGGATGCACATCCAGAGATGGGCACACCTTCTGGTATTCCAGGAGACGAGGGAAGCCTTGCCAAAAGTGGCCCAATGGCCTTACACTCGAATGTCTAGAGTCACAATAGCAGTGCCGACTCCCAAACACGAGCAAACGGCAAGGACGCACCTCCCCTCATGCCGCCAGCACAAATAAGCGGACGAGGGGGCGCCAAAGAATCTAAAGATACATGTCAAATCATCAGAATATTCTCTGTCACAGACCCACAGCCACTGACCGGTTAGAACACCATGTTGTGAGCCTTGCTATACCACACAACGGTCACCATTGTTGCACACGGCCACCCCAGAGATTCCCTGGCCAAACACACACTTCATTACATTGTAATACACACATAAAGCATGTGTAAAGTCCAGTCAGTGGCTTGCATCCCCACGGCAGTTGGGACATCTTATTCTATCAATTTTGTCAATATAAATGGTCCCAAATGGCACCATAACCACCCAAAACCCCTTGAAATCAGGCATGCACACTCAACAAGTATAAAAACGCCTTGCAAACCCAAACCAAAATACCCCCCGTTCATGTTCACACCACTTTGAAAAAACACATTTCCTTTTTCATCCTTTTTTATGTTTTTCGACTCCCAAAGGCTCACTCATGAATCAAACGTTTCCATCTTGTCATCTTCATCTAACAACCAAAAATGGGTTGGCAGAGGTGCCTTGGAGGCTTCCTCAATCGGTATCTCCTCCACCTTCTCTTGAACTTCTGCCACCCTTTCCTCTTCTTCTTTTTGTTGTTCTTTTTTCCCTCAGAACTCAGTGACATACTCAAGCCACCATTGTGGTAGCTTCACCATAGCAATGTGTCTTTTTGAACATGCTTGAGCATTTGCCAACGTCTCAAGTAACAAATGCACATAAAAGGCAACACTATTGAATTCGTGACTTCGAATCCAGGTGGCTAGAACATGGATTCTCTTTGGGTATCTAGCTATATACTTCTCACAATGCTGGGGCTCAAGAAAGGTCAGCCTAGCCTACCATTTGAACCCCCCAACAAGTGCACACAACTCATTTTTTTATGTCACTGTCTCTTGCCTCTTGTGGGGGGTACTTATTGTTTTTAGTGGCCTTGTGTTTTCTAGCCTTTTAGTTGCCCAGGCCCCTTCACCCGTCACATACACTAGGTGATTACATTATTGCACTACTTCCCACTCAATCTCTAGATCCCCATGATGACTAGTATGCAGAACTATGTTCATGCCCTCCTCTACATTTCCTGAACCC